GTCACCCGGTGTTGATCCCCTGGCCGCAGCAGCGGCTGCCGAGAGCGGGGTCTGGGCCCTCTGGGGTTGCTGGCTCTCCTGCTGTGAGAACTGTGGTCCCTCCTCACCTGCCTCCAAGGGCCCAGCCACCCGCCTGGGTGAGACAGACTAGGTGAGAGCCGTGGACTGGGGATGCAGCAGATAACCACCGAGAGGGAAGTGGAGGACACGGCCCGAGGTGGGTTGTTCCCCGGTCAGTACCTGATCATCCGACACTTCGACACAGCGGATGGAGAAAGGAGGCTTGAGGTAGGCGAATCCCAGGAGCGGGGGTCTGGAGCAGCTGGTCACAAACTGCAACACAGGGCAGGGTCGGGGGGCAAAGCGGGGCCCCCATAACTTCAGTCAGCCCCTTGCAGTCGTGCTGCTTGTCTGCTTTCTCCAGCACTGTGTCGCCGACTGCGGTTTGACCAGCAGTGCAGGGTGACAGAGAGGGGTCTCTGGCCCAAGACCTGGGACACATCTCCTATCTCTCTAGGCACTGCTCTCTGGACAAATGAGGGCTGGACAAAAAGAGGAGAGTATTGGAGCCCCAGGTTCCCCTACAATCGATACATTTACAAGAAACACAGCCACAAGGTGACAGTGGTTTGAGCCCCAGATCTGGCGACTTGAAACTCACTGGGCCTGAGTGTGTGGGTGCCCAAGAGGAGAATGGAGGAGAAGGGATTGCAGTGTGGCCATCTCCTCCCATCTCCCGGAGGGGTGGTGGTTTCTCACTTTCCCTCTCACTGTTTCTGTCTCTCCAGCAAGTGCATGGCCCTATGGCAAAATCTTAAAAGAAAAAAGACAAAACCCAAACTAAGTGCAGCCAGGCCCGCTCCGGTGCCAGAGCTGCATCTCCTCTCCGGTCTGCAGCTACGAAACAGGGCAGGCACACGACAGGGACTGCAGGTGTGGTGACATGCTCTCCAGAGGCACACCTGGTAAGTGGGTGATGACCACGCCTTTGTAGACACTGGCCCTTCTCTCACTCTACGGGGCAGGGACTGACTCGCCTATGAGAGGCACTGCTGGGAGAACGGAGCCGATTCTCCCCACAACCAGCTCCTGGAATTATGTCTGTCCTTCAAGACCCGTGGGGACGGCTAGGACATTTGTGCATCTGCTGGACTGAAGTGAGGGCTGTCTCAACAGGAATGAACTTCTGCAGAAGAACCAGTCAAGGAGGATGAAAACCAACTGCCATTTCAACCGGGAGTGGGACTGTCCACACTGTCTCAACAATGGAGTCACCAGACACCGTTCAAGAAACCCAATGCCCAAGGGAAAATATTTTAAGGCATTAAATTTACTTCCATAATATGGCAGTATGTTCATGCTATACTTTCCAATAGAAGCGGGTGGTGAAGTGATGTGATTCCATTGTTAAAAATATATTGGGACCAGGAAATGGCATAATGGTTATGTCACTGGACTTTCACGTCATCAACCACAGTTCAAATCTTGGAAACTCATGTTGAGCATGTGTGCGTGCATACCCAAAATACTGAGAGGAGAATAGAGGAGAATGTGGCATGGCCACCCCCCTGAAGGATGATTTCTTGCCTTCTGTCTTTTGTCTCTGCCTCTCCAATGAGCTCATGCACCATATAGCAAAGATATCTCTTAAAAAAAATACACACGTAGGGGACCAGCAGGTAGTGTGGTGGTTAAGGCAGTGGATACCCCCACATGGCTGATCATGATTTGAGTCCTGGATCTGGTGGCTTGCTTTCTTACTCCCCCTGCCCCTCTGGTCAAATTAAATAAATGAATAAATAAAATTAAATAATTCTTCAAAAAAAAATACACATGTATATAAGGCATACACAGATAAATGTGGGTGTGTGTCCTCCAGTGCTCTAAAATATACTTACACTTTGCTGAGGTCAGCAACAACAACAACAAAACAATACAGCAGCACTGGGGAGAATATTATGAACATCTACAACCTCACACCAGGTCAGCCACATGTCACTCACTTATTTACAAGAATATACATCGAGCAGTCCAAGTGATGTATTTTTTTTTTCTTTTAGAGAGATTTTTGCTATGGGGTGTGTGTACTCACTGGAGAGACAGAGACAGAGAGACAGAAAGCAAGAAATCACCCCCCAAGAGGGGTCGCCATGGCACAATCCCTTCTCCTCTAGTCTCCTCTTGGAGTTTTGGGCACGCACACACATATGCCTGGCATGAGTTTTAAGCTGCCAGGTCTGGGACTTGAACCATGGTTGCTATATGAGAGTCTAGCAACATAACCATTACACCATCTGCTCATCCCCAAAGTGATGTGCTTTATTGGGACACTGTGTGTGTGTGTTGTACAGGTTGAATATCCCTTATCGAAAATGCATAGGGACACAAGTTTTTCAAATTTTGACTTGTAATATTTTGGAATATTTGCATATACACAGTGAGGTATTTTAGGGATGGGACACAAGTTTAAATATGAAATCCACTTATGTTTCATATACACTATGAACATATAGCCTGAAAGTAACTTAGTACGTTATTTTTGTATTGTAGCAGTTTGATTATGGGTCAGGTATAAAATTTTCTATTTCTGGTATCATTCTGTTGTTCAAAAAGTTTTGAATTTGAGGTTTGAGATTTTTGGATTAGAGATACACTACTTGTGTACGCATGTTCCACATACTGAGGAAAAGGCACACAGAGGTCATAGGCCCTGGCTGACAGGGATGGAGAGAGATTACAATTCTACATTGCAGGCACATAACTGTTTAAGATTTTGCTTGCTGGTATTTTTGTAAGGTAAGTAATCGACCTGTGAACAAGGCCAGCAGGGTGCCCTGTTCCTGCAACAAGCGCATGTGGGGGCTCAGACTCACCCCACACCCTCCTGTGGTGACTGGGAAGGTCCGTGCATGGAGAGGACGCACTGACACCTGAGGCCCTTCTGGCCACATCACTTTTCCTAGGGTTACTTAATATATCAACTGGCTTCTAGGTTTCTCGAAATATCTATGCACCCATGAACACATCTATAAGCAATAAAAAAATAAAAAATACCTTCAGAAACATGGCTCGTTCTTCAGGCGTGAAGTCAGAGGCCAGAATATCCCAGAGCCAGATAATGACTCTGTGACTTCCATGGAAACCACCATAGTACACCGTGTGCTTCCTGAAAATGACCCAGACAACGGCTCAGCAACATACTTGGATGGCACTTGGGGCGAGGCAAGCTTGGCGATTTAGACAAGCCACACAACCCACTCCGGCAGGCCTGAGGAACATGATGAGCGCCTAAAGCCTGAAGTTCATGCCTTAATAACTCCATCTCATAGGCAGAGGGTTTGAACTGGCCTTGCTAATCCACAGCGGAAGCCAACATGAGATCCTGGGACACCATTTCCTAGAGCTTCTGAAAACTATGCTTCTACTCGGGCAAGCTATTAAACTTTTATTCCAAAGTAGTACAACCAGCAAGCAGAGAGGACAGTGGGAGATGGACTCTTGAACCAATGCTTCAAAAGGAACCCAGTGAGGGGCAGTGCTCTTTCTAGGAGGCCTGAGAATCTCACCCTCACCCCCTTACCAACTCCTTACTTTAAATCTTCCAGATCAATCTCAGCATTGTCGCCAGAGATGAGACGCTGCAGCTCTGGGGTTGAGAACATTCTGATCCACTCGGGTTTGATAATAGAACGGAATCCGCTAATGAGCGCAGCTGTCTGGTTTTTGATTTGCGTGTGCATTCGAAAATGAGCCATCAGATGGATGTAGCTAATCCTGGGGCCAACGTGGAAAAGAATGAAAATGAACAAGATGAGGCAGGGTGTTACCAATGGGCTGCAAGAGTTCAGTCATTTCAGAACCATTTTACAAACATCACTAATAGTACCAGAGCTTCCACCAGAGCAATGACGACGATGACAGTGACGACAATGACCGTGACAGTGCTGCTGAATTTCACCCCTCAGGTCACTGTGGATGTGTAAGCCTTTGGGGGCATTACCTCATTCACTCCTTCCCCGAATCCCACAGGTCTCCTGTCAGAATAACCTCCAGGGTCAAGATTTGAAGTAGGACATTCTCCAGGTAAGAGAGCACTTCTTATCATAAAGGAAGCTTTTTGGACTTTTATTTAACCTCATCCTTCTGGACATAAACCAATTAAGATATAATTCAGTGCTCTGATAAGCTCTGAATTAGGAAAAATCTGTTTCATGTTGAAACTTCAATCAAAACCTTGCTAATCTGGACTAAGTGTCTGAAGCCACAAGAAGGCAGACCTGCAGAGTGTTTTGAACAGACGCAGCTGGGTTTACGTTCAGGTTCAACAGGGAAGTCAGAATAACAATGGCTCTATGAAGAGGGCCTTCCAGGCCTGCTTTTAAGATCACAGTGATCTCGCCTACAACTGTGTACATAGCACAGTCCTTTCTAACAAGTTAAACACACTCCAATAGGCTGGCTAGCATTGCTGACCTCTCAGCAAACCACGGACTCAAGGACAAAAGAACTTGAGCCAAGGAACAAACTCTCTCACTTGCCAAATGAATGCAGTCCAAATCATCTCTCTTACTTTAGGATGTTCAGGCCTAAGTTTCTGACCTTAAAAAACTGCCCTATCTGGGGGACCAGCAGATGGTTTAATGAATATGTTGCTGGACTCCCACATAGTCAACTGTGGTTCAAGTCCCAGACTGGCAGCTTAAAACTCAAGCTGGGTGCGTGTGCATGTGTGCCCAAGATCCTGAGAGGAGAATGGAGAAGGGATTGCAGCATGGCCAGTGATTTCTTGCCTTCCGTCTCTCTGTCTTTACAGTGAGTACGTGTATCCTATAGCAAAAATCTCTCTCTCTAAAAAAAAAAAATAAAAAAAAAATAAAAAGATCAGCCAGCAGTAAACCTATAGACTCACACATTTAAATCAGAATTTTCCTGGGGCCAGCAGGCGGCATGGTGGTTAAAGATGCTGGACTCCCATATGGCCAACCACAGTTCATATCCTGGACCTGACAGCTTGCTTTCTCACTTTCCCTCTCTTTCTCTCTGGTCAAATTAAAATAAACAAATAAACAGTTAAAAAAAAAAAGAATTTTCCTATTATTGGTACTCCTTCATTCAGTGTAGGCAGATTACTGATACCATTCCATTTTACTGAGAGGGGAGAGCACACGTATGAGCAGGTGTAAGGTGTACACCCACATGCGTGGAAGAGGGGAATGGGAAACACTGAACACCCGGGGAGGGCAAGGTCACCCCTAAAAACGGGAACTGGCAGTGCAGCCTTTGACACAGACCTGTAGAACACTTGCCTCACACTGAGGTTTCGGGCTGAGAACATGTTAAGAGTTTATTTAACTCTTAAGTTTCTACATAAGAGATTTCAAGGCAGGAGGAATCTCACTCCAGTAGAGCTGGCAGCGACCCAGCACCTCTGGCTGCTACACACAGAGTTCCTGCCACGGTGCCTGGCAAAACATGGCCTCTCTAGGAGTGGTGACAACCACTGATGATGGTGACAACCACTGCTGTCATTTATCAAGCCCTCCTTTGAGCCTGACGTCCCAGAAGGCAACTCACATGCAGCCCTCTGAGGGAATGCCCACAGACCATGTGTGAGTGGACCAGGGCTCCCCTGCTCTCTCTGACCCCAAGCCTGGGCCTTCCTCTCTGCTGTCCCGGGCAGCCCTTCCCAATCTGTGCTCTGTTCCTTCTAAGTTTTCAAATGAATGTCCTGCAGTCAGAGGGCAGAGCTGGTGTGTTCTCATCACAGTGAAAACCGGGTCTTCTGACAGTCTAAATAATCAACTGGTCGCTGTCTGAAGGTAACGTGCTGCTCGGGAACAATGAGCTGCAGTGTGCATCTGATCCACATGGGCCCGGGGGGGATCCTGTCCCTGGGCTCATGGGGCCTGGGGCAGAAGACTGGTGGGCTGCCGAAAGGCGGGAGTCTCCTCCTCAGGCCAGCTTCTACTGTTTCAGTTAGGTGGGAGTAGGGCAGGAGGAGAGAGTGCCTGAGAGGTCTGGCTGCTCAGGACAAAGAGGTCGACATTTACGACAGATCCCTGAAAGCCCATCATCTGTGATAGCTGCTAACCCCCGAGTCTCCTCTGCGTCCCCATGTCTAAATACCTCTGTGTGCTGCCTCTGAATTCATCACTGTGTCTTCTCAAGACTGCTGTTGATACAACTGCCACATGCTATCACTCCAAATGACCTGCCCCTCTGATGTACCTTTCCACCTTGGTGCCCCTGGGTGCGGGACACCGTGCGTAAGTGGCTCAGAATCCACCCGTCTGCATCTAGAGTCATCATTAAATTCCTAAGAACACTGTGGTCTGGGTGCCTCTGACCTTAGCAATGCTATTGCAGAAATTAAATTCTCATTCTTATTTTGCAAATCGAATTTAATACAATTTTGGCCTATGAACTGCAACCGGTAAATTCCATTATGATATTCATGGCTTCTCTCTGCTTCCATCTATCTTAATAACTTCTTGACGTAAGCCCAGAGAGTCAGAATGAAGTCTTTTCAAGTGGTGACCTTAAAAATCTAATTGTTATACTCACTTATTTTCATTTGTAACAGGAATGGTCTTCCCTCCAGGAATCAGTTCGTGGCAAACGAGCTGGGGAGAAGATGGGGAGTAATTACTACAGAGAATGCTAGTAGAGAGATAAGCTTTCTGAAGACAAACGCGCCCAACACCAACGTCCATGATAATGATGGGAGTGAGATGGTCTGTGTTTGCAAACAGTCATTTTTCACAAAAAGTCAAGGCTGAAATATCAATGAACTAATCCTGAGTGATCAGTATGAAAGGTTTCTTCTTCTCATCTAATCCTTGTGGTTCAAATGTTTGTATTATAAAGGTTTCAGGATTCCAAGGAGAAGTATGTGCTGGTATCTGAAAGCACAGCAGGATGGATGGATGGATGGACAGATAGATAGACAGAAATAAACAATTAAATGTTGGTACAATCATACCCTAGAATATTGTGCGTCTATTAAAAATATGATGAGACGGTATGTTTATTGCAAGGGGGAGAACAAGTGTAATCCTGTAACGGCATGTACTGTGCGGTATCCTTTCTGCAGAAAGCCGTTACATGTGTGGCCAGGGGAAGGATGCTGACAATACCCTAATGGTGGCACCCTCCAGGCACTGGCACAGTAGGTGGTTTTCATTTTCACCTTTATGCTCAGATTACAGCTAAAATTTTTGTTAGAAGTTTCATTATTTTTAAGGTTTTTACCATAGGGCATACATGTGGTCGCTGGAGAGAGACAGTGAGAGAAGTGAGAAATCACCCCCCAGGGAGGACGACCACACCGCAATCCCTTCTCCTCCATTCTCCTCAGGATTTTGGGCACGCATGCACGTGTGCCTGGTGTAGTTTTCAGGCTACTCTCAGACTCGATCCACAGTTGGTCACGTGGGAGTCCAGCATCTTCACTACCACACTAACCTGCTGGTCCCAGTCTCATTATTTTTATAGTTGAGAGAGATAATTCAGTGTGAGGGGACTTCATAAAACTTGCAGAAAGATAAAATTAAATGAGATATTTTTGGTACAAAAACATTTTGATGTCCAGGCGTAGTTTGTCAGAATATGCAATTTCTATCGACGTTCTGAAGACCCTGAGTATGTTAGGGGGAAGGCCCAAAGTCTGACTAAAGATGTATTTGAAAATTTTTATCAGGACCCTCACACTGCGCCTGCTCAGCGGCCATTCAGGAGGTGGGGAGGGCACGCAGGCTTTCCAGTGCTGGTCGGACACTGGCATCTTCGAGGACTCACACCAGACAGATGGGGTTTTTCTGAGATAGGAAAATGTGGCTCAGGGAGACTGAGCGACCTCTGTGGGTGACACAGGCCCATGTGGAAGAGGCCAGCTCTGCCCTAACGTGCTCCAGAGCGGCCCTCAGACCACACACAGTCCTCCACTGGGATGCAATGTGGGTGAACAGAGAAAAGCCAAAAGGAATAACCGGGAATAAGCCCCTACTCTGCGATTCCCAAGGCCTCTTCTCCCGGCTCTGCTCTTTGGGACTGGTGGGAACGAGTACAGGGTTCTGTTAGAGGCACTCCTTCTTGGGTGGCTTCATTCCCTTAAGTCATAATCCTCCATTGGTAATGGCTAATCTTCACCATGGTAACGAAAAGCAGCATTAGAAATGGAGAAGTACAGGGTCTGTCACGAACTATCCTAACGTGGACCTAAGTACAGCAGAGCAGGGTCTCTGTGGGAACTCTGTGAGGGCGAGCAGGCAGAGGCCAGGTGTCCTGGTAAGGAAGGGGCTGCCCTCCATGCCGGCAAGGTACGCAGAAGAGGAAGGGCGGGGGGAGAGGGCGGGCACAGAAACCAGGCAGACGGATAGTCTCTCAGCTTGTAGATCTCGCTCTAGGAAAACTTTTGCTGGGAGTGGGCCTGGTCTCTGGAAGCCCATGGAGGGAGGCTGACCTACCTGACCCATGACGTCCTCGTCATAAGACAGAGTCAGGCCCAGGTCAGCGATGTCCCCATCGTAGCGCTACAGCAACAGAGAAGGAGAAAACGTTGGGACCAAGGAGGATACAACCCCTCCTCTCCTTGAGGTGCTTCCTGGGTGGTGCGAACCATGGCAGCACAGAGCCAAGGAGAAGGCCCTTGGCACCCTGCCCAGAAGGCGCCTGTGGAGGCCTGAGAGATGGAAGGAGAGCACAGAGCTCATCCTGGGACATGGAAATGGGGAGCACCGAGCCCCGTGGGCGCCATCAGCTGTGCGTTCACATGCATGCCTACCTGGCTCTCCCACCCCCACACCAACCTTGATGGACGTGAGGTTTTTATAGAACTCTGAGTCCAGGGAAGGAAGTTCATCCACAGAGCTGTAGAAGACGCTGTGGTGGTGGCCGAGCAGCTGGCTCAGGAAGAAGGACGCGAAGGGCACGTCCACCACGATGCCCTGGGAGAGGGGAGGCGGCACTCAGACTGCTGCCCAGACGGGCTCCTTCGGGCCACACGGGCTGCGAGGCCTCCTCTGAGCCCTCCCAGGTTTTCAGTCTGGTCAGCGATACCTCCCCTCACTGTTTAAGGTTGTTTTCTTTATGATAGAGAACACGTGAGCACATGAGAGAGGGAGAAAGAGGAGCACCCTCAACAGGTGCGTCACACTGTGACCCTCCCCACCCGCCAGCTCCGCATGATCTCGGGCACACACGCATGAGCCCTGCTCCTCCTCTCTGGCAAGGGCACATGTCCTCTGACATTTAAAAACAGAGGTAAGGAACTGGGACACATGGCCACGTGGCTGGCCTGGAACAGCCCGTCTCCACTAGCTGCCACTGGCTGCGTACTAACTTGTTCTAGTCAGGTCAACCCCAGGCAAATAACCGCAGATTGAAACCATCAGCTGCACATGCGGCCACCCTCCCACACGGGGACCAGCCTGCGTGCGGCCATTGGGCTTGAGTGTGCCAGCCCCGAGTCGGGGAAGAGGGCTCGCTGAGGCCTCAGGCTGGCCTGGGTGCCAGCTCTGCTTCTACTGCTTCCCCAGCTGGGGCCCTGGCTGAGCGACTTCTCAAAGCCCCAGTTCTCATCCACGCCACAGGACTGCTGAGGGTTAAATGAGGGAAGCACTTAAGCACGGGAAGCACCTCACTTTTGGGTCCAACAAATGCCGGTTACTGCTCCTACTTCCACGGTTTGATCCTAATGACGGGCTGTTTACGAGGCCGGGCCCGATCACGTCAACGCAGACGAAGCCCACGTATGGCTAAGATCTCATTTCACAATCCGGTCAGCAGTCCTTCGAGCGCCTACCTCGTACACAGCCTTCCCGAGCATCTTCCCCACGAACTCGAAGAGCTGCAGATAATTCTCATGAATGTAGGACGTGGGCGAAGGGTACAGCCTCTCGTCCCCGCTGGTGGTCTGTGAGGAGGAAGGACCAGGAGAGGCAGGGCAGTTACGTGCCTCGTAACAAGTGAGCCCGGCTCCTCGCTTCCCGTGTGTCACCTCGCATTCGGCTGCTGTGGAGTCCGCTGCCGCTCCCCTTAAATACCTTGAACAGGTTGAGCGCCGGGTCGAACACCCGCTTGATGATCTCTTCCAAGAACTCCTTGAAGACGCCGTCTTGGTCAATCCCTGCCTCGTCCACGCCGAGGTCGTTGACAAACTTCACACGGATCACGCCCTTCATGGCGTGCTGGGAGAGCTGCCGCAGCTGCTCGTAGCCATCCTGCCCGGAGCAGTCACAGCCGTGAGGAGCCCAGGGCCATCCCGGACCTCGGGGCCCCTCCTGAAGGCTCCTCCTCCCCGTGCGAAGCCTTCCAGTGTAATCACGGAACGTGTAAGTCGGGACAATGGGAGCACAGGAAGGGTAGCTCTTGCCGGCCTCCGAATGACAGCGGGGAGAGGAAGGCTTCAGGTGGGGTATGTGGGGTATGTGGGGACACCGCTCTTTGGCAAGGAGACTGCCCTCAAGAGGGGACAGAGCAGCGGGATGGGGAGATTAGACAAAACGGGTATGACGAGCTCTCGGTCACAAGACAGGGCGGGAGGAAGTGGGACAAGATGAATCACTCTTTCTCCTTCTGTTTTAATGCTAAGAGTTACCTTTTAGCACATGGTAAAAATAAATAAATTAGTTAATAATGAGTTTGTGGAACAATATAAAATAATCCTTTGCCCCCAATCCCTGGTATTCTCCCCCCCTCCACATCATGAACAATACTGGTACTGAGGAATTCAGGTTATATCCTGAGGGTAAAGGGGAGCCAAAGAAGAATCTGGGAGTGAGGGGAGAAACCTAGCTGGCTTTGTGTTCTAGAAAGATCTAAGGCTGGCAGCAGAGCAGATGGGTGGGGATAAGACAGGAAAACTGCGTACAGGAGTGATGCCAGGCCAGGGCAGGAGCAGGGAGAGGAGAAGCCTACCCGGCCGGCCTGTGGCCAGCTCTCCAGAGATGCAGCCATTCGGCAGGTCTTTCCTACACAGAAACAACACGT